CAGTTGTGGGGCCGAGAAAAAAATAATCAAGATTTAGCCAGTCATAGCTTTGATGACTTCACAGCATTCATAGCATTTGATCAGTTCACTCCCGATCGACAGCACAAGTAAGGAGGGGCGTCGCAAAAGAGCAAAATGGATCAATAACGACAAGCCCACACAACTGCGATGACGATTGCAATCGTTAAGTCTGGAACATACCTTAACTCTGGACTCGCCAAAGAACGCAATACCATACCCAGCCGTCTTGAGGGAAAGTCCGGCAGTTCTTTGCAATATTTCATAGAAAAAGGTAAACCATGACAAAATAAGAAGGAAAAGAACAATAAAATCCTAAAAAAGCCCGACCATGAGCCAGTAAAAGTAGAAATGAAATCACGTACCAACGAGGCTGTGGTCTTTCTTGCAATCAATTTTTGGTTGCTCAAACGATGAATAAAGGGATCGAAACGGAACACTAGCTGTTCGAAGTGCAACGACCCATCGTGGTTCGCGTCCCGCTGAAGATATGCAATCATTCAGTTACATACTATAATATGAAAGTTTAGTGAGAGAAAATGTGGAGAAAAGAGAAGGACAAACTCGGCCCCAACCAATCCTAGAACGCATGATATCACACCTTTGATGCAGGTTCTAAATAATATAAATGCATAAGAATTTACTCCATAATTCATTTCATTACATAAGTGTTACGCAAATAAGATTCTGATTCTTAGCTCCACTTATTAGGCCACAGCATCCGAATATGGGAAAAATTATGCAAAAACACAGTAAGACTTGAAATAGGCCTGACGATAAAGATAGAAGCAGACGCACAGAAGGAAAATGTCTAAAACGACCAATAATCTCCGGGCTTACCTTCCACATTAGCCATTTTATTGACGATATCAAAATGATGAACGTCAAGATCGTCGTACATCTGGAGAGCGAGTTCAAAGGCCCCAAGACTCCAATATAATCGCGCTAATTCCATCTAAACATCGCTAATAACCACTCATTCATCTGGGAAGCCACAAATATGATATCCACAGCTATTAAGTGATTTTCTACTCATTAAGCGAGTACAAAGGTTTAAATAGGTTACCGTTGACGGAGAATATGAAGACAAGCTCCAACTTGCTTCAGTATACCTTTCTTCAGCACTAGTGAGAGATGCCTCCTAAGTGTCAGTTAGAATCTCCAAGTGAGCGAGCAACGCAGTCTGTACCGCTTGTATCAGCCCCATGAACGAACCATGCTTCACTGAGTCCGAATCTTCTATCAACCTAAAAACAACTGCGCTCAACTATCAGCTGTAGAAAGAAGTAGACATGTATGAGTGATCGGAAAGCTACGGTAGCTTAAACCTTTTTATGAGAACTAAAACATCTGCAGTGAGGAATGTGCCAGATTTAACACCTACGCTGCTTATATGTAAGCATACGTAAAGAGAATATGGGCTTATAAACATGCGGAAAGTGGCTATTGAATACGAATCTCGAATTCATTAAAGATAAAATATGAACATTACAAATCTTTCGAAAAAGGGAAGAAAGTCGTGTCCATTCAAAAGCAAAGGTGCGTATTTTTTTGAAATTCAGTTTTTGGTTCATAACTTGTCGTATAACTTCGTATAATGTAAAAGGTCTTGGAGGCAAGATTCAGGATTAAATTACGAGGTGAAAGTAGGGGTAGGAAGTGGACTGCCAGTGGAGAAAAAAGAAAAAAAAATGTAAAAATGCACAGGAAAATTTAAGCCTTTTGCTCTACGCTGCGGAGAAGTTCAAAAGGCCGGCAGGGAGATGAGAGATAATGTTGAGCGCGGAGAGCGCTAAAGAAGTACGAGTAGAGACAGCATAGCAGATCAAGTTAGCGACGCAGACAAGATATCGAGCGGTGGGCGGAGCGTGTCGCAGCAGGTGGAGCGTGTCAAAGTTCTTAGCGCCTAGCGTCTAAATAACGGTTTTCGAAGTAGGGAAGTGACGCGACCCCTACACTTGCGTACCTAGCGCTTCTAGCCACCGTAAAGGCTCATTAAGTGGGTCTGAGCCCGAACTTTGCCTTTAACTCCTGAGAAAGAA